TGGCCGCTATGCGAGCCCGTTTTCCTCCTACCGATCCGGATGCTTGATTTTATGTTTAGCTTTAAAACTTTGAACAAAATGAACATTGTTTCAACATTTTGATTTGTTTGATTTTGTGGATTGTTGGATTTTGGATATATGAATGGTGTGAACTTATATGTTTGGAGTGTTTTATTTATTTTTGCATCATTTACATTATCAATATGACCAATTTTGCCATATCACATTATTTATGAATATTGATTTATGAAACTAATGGCTAACCTCTCTTTTGATTGTGATCTTAGCAGCTTAATCTTATAATTAATAAATCAATTGGCTAAATGATTTTCAAAACCTTATTTTACAATGTCTTTTTGATTTAACAAAAAGGGGGAGAAGAATAAGTGTTAAAGTAAGGGGGAGTAATTTCTAATTTCAAAACTTGATTTCAAAAATCTTAAAATTACTAAAATGTTTTGTTATATCAAAAAGGGGGAGATTGTTGAAACATTTTAATATTTCGATATAACAAATTAAGTTAAATGGATTTTAAGATTTTCCAAATGATTTTCTAAGTATATTCGATATAACTATTCGAATATCAAACATTACTCCAAATATTTCAAAAATCATTTTTGATCCTTACTTAAGTGTAAAATTAAGTTTTAATCATAAAACATTTCAAAATATTTTATAAAGTATTTCGAACCAATTCAAAGTCAAAAATTCCAGATTACTCAGAGGGAACCGATTCCCCCCATAGGAGGAACCGATTCCCCCCTGAATGGTTTGGCTCCGAGATTTCCAGAATGCTCAGAGGAACCGATTCCCCCCAAGGGGGTACCGATTCCCCCCTGTTCAACGGTCGAAATATTTGAATTTTACACTTAGGGAACCGATTCCCTATGAGAGGGAACCGATTCCCCCCACTGTCCAAGCTGTTTTATTAAATGTTTTCACACTAAAACGGCTATAATATCTTCTCTAATTATCCCCAACGTTCAGAAGTGATCCAAGGTGTATTTAAGCAAGCTTAGAAGCCATTGATCAACAACAAGAAACATCAAGCAACTAGAATCAAGAGAGAATCAAAGAGAAAGCATCAAACCTCAAGTTTGAGCATTTCAAGCCCATTTTCATTCAATATTCATTTTGCTTTCAAGAACACTTTTTGTGCTCAGTTGTATTCATCTTTGAGTGTTCTTTTCTTTGTTCTAGAATTGTGCAAACATCTTACCTTGTGAGGTTTTCTTGTAAGTTTGCAAATTTGTAATCTTCTCTTTGAGAAAAGAGTGTTCTCAAGAGTTGGGGTATACTCTTGAGGGAATTGTAAGGTTATCTCTTTGGCCTCAAAAGAAAGAACAAATTAGTGAATTTGTTGGAAAATCCTTAGTGTGGATAGCTAAGGTAGTGGACGTAGACTTTGTTTGAGAAAGTCGAACCACTGTAAATCGCTGTGCAATTATTTTCAATTTTCTGCAAAAGCTTCCACAAAATTTTTATTACCAATTCACCCCCCTCTTGGCCAATTTCGTCATTCGATTAACTCAACATAATGATCGACGCTCGTGGGAGATGTGTAAATGTTTTAGACATTGTGGCATAACCTGCATGCTTGCTTCTTCGTTTCTTAAACACTGATTTCAGAAACATGAGGCAAACGATAATGAACCCCAGAGCGTCCACTACTCCAACAGCGATTGCCACCGTCCTCCGAGTACTCTGCCTCGTCGTCCCTGTCCCTACACCAGTTGAAAAACCACCGCACCATATTTGATTTTGCAAGTAGGTTGGCTTATTAGGTGAAGATTCCAAGACAAAAAATGGAAGCCAGTCTACTAAAATTAAAGGACCATTAATCCACCTATCTTCTTTACAAAGAGACCGATCTCTTTTTTCATTAGCCAGGATCTACATCATTGTTTAAAGTCACTTACTTTATCTTTAGTATATAAAACAGAAACTTGGAGGTCCAAGTGGAGCCTTGGCCCGAGAATTCATCGGATAATTTATTGTTCTTTACCTGAAGGTGAGGACATGGTCGGAGCTTCATCGGAATAGTAGCTATAGCTAATGTACGTTAGCATAATGAGTTAGTGCATGTTGTTTAGTGATTCTAGAAGTTTGTTAGCAGTTAAGGTTGTTATTGTTTAGTTGAGGTTGTTAATGGTTAGTTACAAAGTCCGTTAAGACTATAACAACTATGAAGAGCTGTATATAAACAGCAGAGGAGTTGTAAACCAGATGTGGTATTCATTTTCTGTTCAATATACTTGTATTCTGTGTTTCTTCACTAAATATTCAACATGGTATCATTCGCCAAACGGTCCTGATTTTATATTTTTTTTCTTCCGCTGCATGGAAGAGGAGGAGAATATGCCATCGGCGGCTGCCTCCGCCATCGTCTCAGCCAAGTCCATAGTCCAGCCTACCACAGTTCAGAAGAAACGATGGGGAAGCTGCTGGAGCTTTTACTGGTGTTTCGGATCTCATAAGAACAGTAAGCGAATTGACCATGCTGTCCTTGTCCCTGAACCAATGGCACCTGGAGCTGTAGTTTCAACTGCTGAAAATGTAAGCAATCTGACTGGCATTGTAATGCCCTTTATCGCCCCTCCCTCATCTCCTGTATCATTCCTGCAATCGGGTCCTCCATCTGCCACCCAATCACCGACTGGATTGCTATCCCTAACTGCCCAGAAACTATTCGATGAAAAGCCTGTTAGAGTTACAACCGAGGAAGTTGCCCATAAGTCCCTTGCAACCAAGTTGTTGATTGCTCGTTTCCTTCATTGCCACCTCGGCATTGGTTGCCCTGCTGAAATATACCAAAAATCAGGATGTACTTTGAAGGCCGATCGTGTTTGTGATTACAATTGTTCTAGTTGCAATTCAGTGGAATGGAAGTAAAAACGAGAGGTTGCATAACTGTCGCTGGCAAAAGAGTCAAAATTCATGAAAGCTAATGAGGTTGCTTCTTGCCGAAAAGAAAACATAAAAATCCGTTCCGACTTCGATGAGCTTAAGATCAGGAGAGCTCGGATGTTCAATTACGAACAACTTGAGAGGGCCACTGGTGGATTCAAAGAAGAATCTGTGGTTGGAAAAGGAAGTTTCTCATGCGTTTATATAGGGGTATTGAAAGATGGGACAGTTGTTGCAGTTATAAAGGCTATAATATCTTCAGATAAACAGAAGAATTCGAAAGAGTTCCGCACAGAGTTAGATTTATTGTCAAGATTGAACCATGCCATCTTTTGAATCTGCTCGGATACTGCGAAGAGGGTGGAGAATGGCTTCTGCTTTACGAGTTTATAGCTCATGGATCATTGCACCAGCATCTTCATGGAAAGAACAAAGCCTTGAAAGAGCAATGGAATTTTCAGTAAATGGTGTAGCGTAGTATTTTTTTGTGGTCTTGTATAATTGAAAGAACAATAAAGAAGAAAGAAATGAAGGTGATGAAGAAGAACGAAAGGAAGCATCGGCACTTTTGATTCAAAGTGAACGGAAGGAAGCATCGACACTTTCGATTCAAGAAGAACGAAAGAAAGCATCGGCACTTTCGATTCAAAGTGAACGGAATGAAACATCGGCACTTTCGATTCAATTGTTCATCTTTTCATCAAGAAGATTGAATGTCAGAAATGAGTTGTAATTAGTTTTTTTTTTAGAACTTGCTATAATAGTGTGTTCAAGGTTAGAAAAACAGAAGAAGAAAAAAAGTAGAGAGAATGTTAGCATAATGAGTTAGTGCATGTTGTTTAGTGATTCTAGAAGTTTGTTAGCAGTTAAGGCTGTTAATGTTTAGTTGAGGTTGTTAATGGTTAGTTACAAAGTCTGTTAAGATTATAACAACTATGAAGAGCTGTATATAAACAGCAAGGAGTTGTAAACCAAATGTGGTATTCATTTTCTGTTCAATATGCTTGTATTATGTGTTTCTTCACTAAATATTCAACAATGTAGCACTCGTGCAGATAAACCTGCCATTAAACTAAGTCACCACAGTCCTGTTTCGCAGTCTCGAAAGCAATTTTCACACAATCCCCACAATCACTCGTTCCCAAATCACCCTCGCAGGCTCGCACTGTCCCAAAACGTAAAACGATCGATATCGTCTGGTGTAGAACAAGTTTCCCCGCCGCCGCTTTTCACGCCATTCTCCGCCGTGTTGAAAGCGGCGTCTCTCCTGCTCTCGAACTCGGCTCCACTCTACCATGATGACCCTCAAACCCGATACAGAAACTCAGCCGTCGACACCTGTTTGAACCCGACGATCTCGTACCTCAGATAACAACCGCTCAACTGAATCCGAGCAGCAACAGCTTTTCCACAAAGCTTATCGATCATATCTGGAAATTCTGACGCAGGCAATGGCGTATGCACTAAGCCTCGATAGGACCAAATGCATACTTATTATTTTGAAAAAATTGTTAAATTTAACTTTTTAAGGAAAAATGAAAAAAATTATAATTTTTACACAAAAGAAAATTAAATTTTTAGACCTTATTCTTAAATTTCAGGTATAACACTGGGTCCTTGTAAGGTTTCCCCTGCATTGGTAAAGCCCCATTATCGCATTCGGGTCCTCGCCGGAGCTTGCCTTGGAGAATGGTTACTGAGATGAATGTGAAACCAGTGTTGACATGAGGTTCTGTACGTAAACCCCTGATGCGTCTTGAAATTTCTGGTCTTCACATCCCTTGAAGACTAAGTTGGTGAAATCTGCAGCTATTGTAAAGGAAGTAAGTGACCCACCAAAGATTGTGAATAAAAACAGAGAAACATAGAACAAAAAGAGTGCTTTTCTGGGTAAACCCATTTTTGAACTTCTTCTTTTTTTTTTCTGGAGATTTTAGAGCTGGGAAAAAAAGTAAGGTTTGAAAAGAGGGTCTCTATAGGCGTCTCTAGAGAGTCATTATCCGTTAGCTAATAAATTCGTAAAATTAATATTAAACAAATAAAAATATAGATAAAATTATAATAAAATAATGATTTCAAACTAACTGTGTAAAATGTATGATTTGTATTTTTAATTTTTAATTTTGATTTTAACAATAAATTATAATTTTATGAGTTACACTCAACATTTAATTTTATTTTAATAATATAATGCTAATATTCTTAAAATATAATTTATTATTTAATAATTTATTTTAATTACTTAAAATTAAATAAAATTCATAGATTTATATATTTACATATTAATCATAAATTATTATAAAATATATTTTATTATAATTTGCAAACAATCACTGCAAGGCAGCTTACCTGGAGGTCATGCAAAGGAAGCAGGCACTTGGGTTCGAGCAAAGCCCGGGTTAGGTAACCTGGATGATCCCGTAAATGTGTTCCGAACTCCACCTCTTCCTGGAAAAAAGATAGAATTCTCTGTTGCTACTGCAGTCATTCCAGATATCCCAGCCTCTGAGATGGTCGCTATCATCATGCATGTGATGAATATTTCATATTTTTCTTAGATTCCCTCTTGTCGAGACTTGAGAGTTGTAGTGGATCTGATATTGCAAGTTTCGTGTATCAATGCCATATCAATAGTTCATACTTCATAATCATTAGAAGCTGTCCCTTCTTACGCTCTTGTTGTATATGTTTCCAGAACAATAAGTGGTCTAAGTCATTGTTTCCCTTAGTCAAACATGGAGAGGAGTATAGAGTAATTGGCAGTCTCCGGGATTTAAGCATGACTGATGCAACCATCCGGGGCGCAATAGAGGTAAACTGATCTTTACATGGAGTTCACTTCCATTTGGTTAGTGCCATTTGCTCATCTGTCAACCAATGCATGTTTGTTTAGCTGAGATTGAGATTTGCAGGCACGGCTGTCTTTGATTTTGTCCCCTATACTAAACTTGTATGTTCCATGTATATATGTTTGGCACAGGTGCATGCAGAGATTCAACTACCATCAACATTGGTGCCGACTAGATATTTCGAGTTTTTGCGATATGTTAAAGAGATAATGGATGGTGTTTACATAATTATTGATTTCACAAGCCGTTATTTTGGTGATCCTCATGCTAAGTGTAATAGTGTAAAGAGACCATCAGGGGTAATAATCAGGGAGCATGGACCTAAAGATTGTGAGGTTTGAATCAACCATATGTAGCTTTGATCAATACTTTTTGGGTAATTTACACCAAAGGTCACTAATACTTTTTGGATTTAGTGAATATCTCATTTTTTTTTATTGATAAATGGTATTTAAAGGTCCTCATATGGTTCCCATGAAGTTAGGAGTGGTGAGAAAAGTAAGCTATGAAGGGGCTTGTTGCACATGTATCCTCTTAAGTAGGTCATAATGTGAATTGGAAGAATACATAAACAAAGCGTAAGCACATACATGGATGAAAAAGGATAATAAATTAGATTCCAAGTAATCATTATACCTGGAAAAGAAATCCCAGCATATAATACAATATAATACCAACAATAGCAGAATGATAGACTCAAATCTATTGTTCGTACCTCGTCATATAACTAAATAAATAATGCAAAATAAGTGTTATTTCAATAAATAATCTTAAAATAAATATGTGGGTGAAAAAAACAAAGAAAATGTAAATGCATGAATTTCTCCATACCATTTATGAAACCTACATTAATATTATTTCAATAATGCAAAATGTAAACCAAGTTAATGAATTTATCATTTTCTAGCTAAGAAAGATACATTATGAATCGTTGTTGACAAAAGGCTGCAACTTACATGCTGCAATTGATTCTAAAAGCCATGTGTGACCAATGACTTGTCCACCTATTCTTGTGGCTAAATCTTCTGCTTCACTAACCCTCTGCCAAATAATAGTAACTTCTTCTCCCAACTCTGAACCTTGAGGTGCATCCAAATTATACACAATAACCGTCTTTGTTTGAGCTATTTTATCACCACCATTGTTATTATGCTCAATTAGTTCCTCCATTCTTCCCAAAACATTACCGCCCGTGGTGGCAACCAGATTTTGAAGATCCTCCTTATAACCAGACACAAAGTCACCCACAAAATAAAAGTTGAAGCCATCAAAGAGCTTCGGTGCCTGAGAAAAATAAGTTATCAGCTTGCAGAAGTGACAATGTTACCAACTTCAAAAAACTAGAAGGCTTGAACCCGTTAGAGAAAATACTAACATTATTCAATACCCTGAATCTGCCGGTTTTCGGGCCATCACAACACCCATGGTTGTCGAGGCTTACTTCATAAGGTTCTTCATTCAAAGGATGTATAGCTTTCATGCATTCCTTTATCCCTGTGAAGTTGAGCTTACATATCAGTGGTGACAATACAACTTATTGTTTTCGGGTAGTGATGATTGAATATTAACCCGCACACATTCAACAAAGGAAAAGAAAAGAAGCTAAAATTCAATTGCATTACAATTTATATTAAGAACACATTTCCCAGTTGAAATGGCCATGAGAACTTTAAGTGTCCTGGTGCATGCACCATTCTCATCCGTAGAAGCAATCACATGAGTGACATCCGACCTCCAAAACTTCGTTACAATTACGCCAATCATTTTTGCAAACTTGATCAGAAGGAACTGCAACAAGGTAAAACAATAAATAAATAAATACCATCGATTGTTGTGAAAAGAAGGCTATTAAGGATATCCTATCATGAAAGAATTTCCAAATTAGATAGAACGCATCCACTTGATCAATCATGAAAGTTCAAACTTTTAACAACAAACAAGATCAATTAAAAGAAATCAATGCTTGAGAAATATCATCAGATGGGTCAAAACAAAATATGAGTTCCATCTAATCTGACCTTCTCCTCTGGAGACAAAGCAGATCCACAGAAAACCCAATCTTTTTTATTTTCTGGCTGGCCCCAGAAGGTGTTGAACTTCAGCTGACCACTGCATGCAGAACTACAATCAGTTCACCCTCCAGACAATTCAATAATCAGTCTTTATCCATGACTAGAAAAATCTAGAAAAGAATTGATATGTCAACTCCTTCAATAAGCATGCAAAGAAAAGAAGATATATACATCTGAAAGATATCCAAGACATTTTCATTGATTATTAACCTTTCAGTTTGCATGACATCATTAGCAGGCGCACAATTTCTAGACTTCTCATTCAAGAACTTGGATGAGGAGAAGGCATTTCTAGACTTCTCACTTGGAAACTTGGATGAAGAGTGGGCTTTTCTAGACTTCTCACTTGGAAACTTGGATGAAGAGTGGGCAGGACAAAGCACAAGAAAGTCGTCCTAAGAGAGAAAAAATTATGAGCAAAAATTGACACATGATCATAGAGAGGGGGAAGTCAGAATGTCACAGAATAAAAGCATATCTAAAAAGGCAATTACATGGTCCCATCGACATTTTGGAATCTCTTTTGCACAAGGGAAATGATAACTTCTGCGGCAAGACTTCACATAACAGCCAAGTGCTGCCCCCTTTAGTCCACATCTGTTGCACTTCAACTTCGCACCCCTTGCAAGTTCTGCCTTAAGATTCTTAATAGAATCGCCAACATAATACACTTGAGGTGCCCTGCATTTGAAGACATTGTCAGGGCATTTCACTGAAACTCCCATCCTCAGAGGAAAAACCATTTTCCATTTTAATTAAATACTATACTAATTAAAATATTCAGTAAAATACCATTCGATACATGAGCTGTGAACATGTATAACATTTGATCTGAATGATTCATCTCCTGTGACTGGTCTTCCATTGAGATAATGTAGCATCACTCCAGTGACCTGATAAATTTGAGAACACAAGCTAACTTATAAACACCAATAAAAGGAATAATCAAAAAACGGTCAATGGGAATTTACCTCGGACATTCTACAAGACTGGCAAAATGCACAAATGGATGTACTTCCACACAGGTTATCTGATGTCACAGGAAGATTTGTAACAGCAAGGGATGGCTCATTTTGAGATCCTAATTGACAATCAGAAGTCACCACGTTCTGAGCATTCTGAATTGTTTGACAATGATCCATAGGCTTGACAACCATATCTAGTTCTCCATAGTTCAACCTCTTTTGACTCTTGGAATCCAAAGAATGACCATCACTCCCTAGAACAGAATTGTCCTGCTTTTGACTTGTCATGTCATCAAAATTTCTCTTACCAGCTCCCTTGGATGAATAGTTTCCAAGACTCTGCAAAATCATCAAGTCCATGTCAGCAAGAGATACTGTAGACTAAAAATTGTATTCAGGCAGGAAATAAATACCACAAAATACACTCTAACAACCAATAACTATCATATACGTTATAACATGCTCCCAGAAATGGTATAAACATGGGGAAACACATAACAGACAATTGACAGTGTAATAGGAACTGAAGTAACTAGAAAGAACCAGCATTGATATGCAACCATACAACCATTTAAAGATATCATACATTGAACTACAACATAAAATGATTGGAAGATAGGAAGACTCTTACATGTTCACTATCATTGCCGGACGCCTTTGTATCGCCGCTGGAAGGAGGGCTGAGAGATACTTGATCCACTCGATTAACATGCAAACCAACTTTCTCAGAACTATCATCTTTGTTGGGAGTATCGTAACCTTTATCCGAAATACACCTTTGAATGCTGCACTTATCAAATTTATCAGTTTTGCCAACACCATCTTCAATAGAATGAGAAATATTTGCAGTAAATGCTGCATCCAAACTTCTATAGATTCCCACTATATTCTCCATGAAGGTCACGTGCCTTAGATCTGCAACCAGCACAGTCCTTTTCAGCCATAAACGAAACTCATACAAAGTAATAAACAAATTTCAAATAGTCCTGGAAAAGTAGAGGGCTTGATCCTAACACCTACCAATAAAACTACATCAATTTGGTTGTAAAATTAATACATTGAATGGAAATTTTATATTAACAAAACTCAGGGTTTTAAAAAACAGTCTGCGACCGCGATTTAATCCATGATATAACGGTTTCGTCGCCGTCCAAATTACCATGACGGCCACAATAGTGTCTACAATGGCCGCAATAGCATCCACGACGGCCACAATCACGGTAAATCCGAAATAACCGAAAACACAACCGCGAAAGCGATTTGAAACCCTGACAAAACTCAAAATAATCTAAACGAGAATCTCCAAATACACGATACCAAAATCGACACAAAATTTTAGGCCATAAATGGACTCAAAACCAAAGAGAACACCGAATATTAACCTTTTTTAGCTCCCAATAACTTTTTAGGGGGAAAACAAAGAAGCAGTTAAATGAAATGCACCTCGATCTGCACATTGAGATTTGCAAATAGAGCACTCTGATCCAAACTCAGTTCGGGCTATGCATGAACTGTAACAATTTTAAAAAAATGAAAACTAAGCACTGAAAACCAAAACTTTCAGAAATTAATATATATACACAGAGAGAGAGAGAGAGAGAGAGATGGCACTAACTCGCAAAACAGATGGTCGCACGGCATCAACAATGGCCGTTTAAACAAATTCAAACTGCAAAAGATAACATTTCAGATAACAGTAAATTAAAAAAATACAAACCAAACTACAACAAAATGAACAGAATGTGAGAAGACAAACCAGATAGGACATTTAAGCTCCAGACCCAGTTTTTGAAGATGAAGAACCCAAGGATTCATAGCTCTATTAACACTCTGCTTAGTCAAAAGACTCATTATTAGCTAAAAAATAAATTAAAAGGAAAAAAAACTCGATACTCGGATATCTTTCTCAAGAGTCAAGAGCGAAGCTGGTTCGAGGTTTATAGGGAGATCTCTACAAGACTGGGAGGTCTTAGAAATGAGTCTTACGTGTGTAGGTATAGATACACGTGGACGTCTGTGATTTGTTAGATTGAAATAGGCGGCATTTCATATTCCTAATTGGCGGAACTTAGTGGGTTTTTCATTTTGAAGTTCGCGCGCGTGTTTGGTTTCGTTTTCAATTCTCTCCCGCCTTCCTTAGTTGATTCCTCAAATGCAACAGAATTTCCCACGTATTATTTAGTGGTGAAATTATAAATTTGGTAAGTAAACTTTACTTTGTCTCTTATTTCACTCACTATACTTTAAATCTTTTCAATTTTCTCACTAAACTTAATACATTATATTTCTTTTGTCACTCGGACG